GCTTTCAAACACTCATAAGACTCACGCAAAAGACGTCTATTCTCGATAAACTCCGAACACAACCGCTGAGGCAAAAACGTCTTCACCGCAGAACGAAGATGAAGCCAATCGATCAGTTGCAGTATCCCAGAGGCAGCGACTGGCCACTCGAACTCCTTGGTTGTTCAATTTTCCGATGGTCACCAGACACACAAGTTTGTATCTATCAAAACCCATCACCTTGACCTTGTCTTTTATTTCGTCGGCTATACTGGATAGTAAAAACTTGCATTTTTCCGCATCGTAAGAAAAGCCCTCCAGCCGGCTTTCCAACACGCTGTCGATGGCGTCCTTCACCTCTTTGCTTCGAAATCGTTTATCCGCGTCAGGACTGAGCTTGTACGTATTGGCGATTTTCGGCGCCATCGGTTGGACTCCGCTTTGAGCGCTTGCTTGATGAACCCTTGGGTAAATAGAAACTGATTTTGTTCCTTTGGAATCAAGGAGAGTCATCCCCGTTTTAACATCAGTTACAGTCACTGAACTTCGTCGACTAGAAGCTTCACTTGCCGGCATCGCTAGAATTTACTTAACCCGGCTAACAATCTTACAACCAGTGTTCAATTCCGCGTAGTCTTGCCTCACAGGAAACCAGAATGTGAGTCTTCGCACGTTCTTTTCTAAACGATAATTCACTTGAAACGATTTTCCGTAACTTCCTGCACGGAGAACATAATCCAAGGTTTCCGTTTTTGAAACAACCTTTTGTCTCTAACAATAGCGTGGTTTTTCGTTATTGCTTGTTATATAACAATTATATGTCACCCGCTCCAATAGGTTTCTTGGCGGATTTTAAAATGAGATTGGGTGTAAATAATGTGTCATATCAAATGAGTAGTTAATAAGAGATGTTAATAATTGACTCTACTGCCCAAACAGTTAAGTAATAATTTTATTGGGCAAAAACCTCAATAAAGCGGTTTTTAATATATCTATGTTTTTTGACATAAGGGTAAAATTAAGTTTATGTGACAGGTCAATAAAGATGTTATGCGTTTATTTTTAGCGGAAAACTAATACCTTAGCGATCTGTTGTTGTTACAGTACTGGAGGAAATAGCTATGCAGTCGTAATTTTGGCTGATGAGAATGAAAGTCTTAGAAAAAGCGAGGCGTAAGATTTTCTATAAATACGGACCGTAGTTGACAATTAAACCAAATATCAAAGTACGCTGTGTTCAGGGTGTTTTTTGAAGAGTTATAATCGGACTTCTGAGCTGGAAATAAATTTAACACGAGGTTCACTTTGGAGGTATAAGGAGGGGGTTGAATAGGGGTATGCAAATCCACCGATCCGTTATGATTTATTAAAAAAAATTCGCTCTGTATTCGAAATCCGGGAAAAAATATTTTCACAATCTGCCGAGCCGTTGGCTTATTACCCTCTTCCATCTATCATGTAACTTCTGAAATGGAGTTATTATCCTATGTGGTATATTCTTCATATTGTACTATTCTGCATGCATTTGTTATGTTGCTGATGAAGAGGTTTTAACCCTTTAAGCCCCAATATCCACGTACAAATTCTCCAAACTGATCTCTATACATTTCCTTCAAGAAGAAGTTGAGAGAATTTGATAAAAGATCAAGGCTTTTTTCCTGAGGTGATCATTTTATTAATTCTCATAACCTAATCTCTTGACATTGTATGGATATTGTTAGGAGAAAATTGACGTTAGTCTCTATTGGGACTTAAAAGGTTAATTAATGATCAAGATCCTCTTTACTAGTTGATGATTTCCTTTTTTCTCACGACGTTTATGTGTGGACCGTGTTGTTGTTGGTCACTCATAGTGATTAGTGAAGGGTCCGGTAGGTACAATGTCACCTGTGCTCAGGAACCACATTGCCTCTCCCCACCCAGGTGTATGAAAAGGAAGCTTAAGCAACGACGACAGCGACTTCAACGAGAACGGCATAAAAGCAATAGGTTTAGATTGGCAGAACAAAGCTTTGCACGTTCATCTCGCTTTTTTGTACATTTCTTTGCCGTCACTGCACGACTACAACACTGATGAAAATACCTAATTTCACGTTTTGTGCCTGGACGTGAACACAAGGCAACGACTTTCTTCTTCTCTTTCTGAACTTCGATACAGTCTTTTAGAATTGAACTCCAGAAAAAATTGCCAAGATTTGACGAATTGAATGGGATAGAATAAGCGCGATAAAGTTTGAAGCAGCGCGACTTCATATGTATTACTAATACTACTTCGCTTTATTCAGTTGTGCATGATGATTCCTAACACACCAAAAAGTGGTCAACAATTTCACAACAAGTTACGGTCATTTTATTTGCAAGTTACCATAGGACTGGCATAGCCTGATTGTACCTACACGGGCTTACTTAAAAAAAAACTGAAAAAAAAACTTTTTTTATTGTATCAAGTTAGGGTTATTTTCTTGGCTTTTCAAGTTACCATAGCAATGGCATAGCCAGTTAAGAACACCCTTAATTTTAGCTGCGAGGGCTTAAATCAAAAAAGAGTTTGTGATCGCAGTTCCTTATCATTGAATTTGTAAATCACCTTGTCAAGATTTAACTTTAAACTCTCGAAGTTTGAAAAAATTAACAAGCGGGTTCATGTAGCGGTTTCCTTTCAAAACAAATTTAAGGTTGACTCAGGCTGCAATGTATAAATGCAAGGCACGAGGCTAGAGAGTGCAACGAGAAAGTTGACAGCAGCTTTAAATAGCTACATTTGTTTATTCGTAATAAATTGCTCATTGAATTAATAACGCACTATGTTTTATTCAATTTTTGTAAATTTATCATCAGCCATTCCTTTGCAAATAATTAAACCTTTGTTTCCGACATAATTGTCCAACAAAGAGATTACTACTGTACAGTAAAGAGAAACGATTGGCTGGCTTTATGATTTTCCGACCAAGTGGATGCAGTACCTTTAAATATGCTGAGTTTATTTATACTCTGATGTAATATCTACCTTATTTGGAAATTGAACTAAGTGTAATTACCCTTGATCCAGCCGCTATTTGAAGAAGAAAGAACTTTAAATTT